CCCCCCCTCCACTGCTGCCCTGTGAGGGGTTCACGTACATGAGATCCCCTGGAGCCTTCAACGGGGCTGAACAGCCCCAGCTCTCTCAGCCTCATCCTCCAGCCCCTTCCCTGGGCTCTCCAGTACATCTGTGCCTTGGACAGAGGGATCCCAGCACTGGGCACCGCATTCTGGGTGCGGCCTCGCCAGCGCTGAGCCATTTCCCCCAGGAGCCCGGGGACAGTGTGTTCTGCCGGCGCTGAAAGAGGGGCCTATCCCAGGTAAAAAAAACCTCACAACAATTTCTCCTCCTCAGCTGTTCTGGCTGCAAGTGTAGTTAAGTACATATAGTGATGGAAAGGAGTAATGGGTTTGCACATACTGGGTTTGGAATCACCGTGATGCTGCGCACCATTCTTCAGGAGAAGCTGTGCTCTTCCAGCTGAATCGTCCCAGTCAAACGTTGACGTGCTTAGGAAGCGTAGCAACAGAAGAGGGCACGCTCCCTGAAGCTGATGTTCGTTACTGCTGGGTTGTACCTAACTCCTCCAGGCCGACACACGTGCGGGCAGCAGCAACGCGGGCCTGGCTGCGGTGGGGCTGGGAGGGGCTGTCCAGTGGCTGGGGGCTGTGGCGTAGCGAGAGCTGCAGCACAGCTGTAATGTACTTCAGGCATGGGACGCCTGGCCTGAAAAGCAATTTAAAGGATGTGACAAGCAAAGCGAATAACAGTAACTGCACCTCTCTGCTGGTAAATAGTTTTCTATGAGATTGCAGCAATGCCTGTCAGAAATAATGTTTTGATCATCTGATTTTACAGTGAAAAAACATTGTGTTGTGAGCGTCTCATTCCTTGCCCCTTATTGTGTGTGGGCTTTTCGGGGTAACATCCACATTCAGAACAGTGTTGTTATCAGTGAAAATAAGGCAGTTTCCTGCAGGTTCTTTCACATGGGATCAGTTCAAATGCAAGCGTGTATGAAACGGCACGATGACGCTTCTTTTTTCCCACTATGGTCAAAACACAAACCTGTGTTTCTCAAGAGCTGTACTTAACATTCATCCATGAAGAAGTCTTGCTTAATGAACCCAGCCAGCACAGGTTCATGAAAGGCAGGTCTTGCCTAACTAACCTGATTTTCTTCTGTGACCAGGTGAGCTTGCCTGGTCATAGGACCAGGAGGAGGGAAAGACGGTGGATGTTGTCTGCCTGGACTTCAGCAAAGCCTTCGACAGAGTCTCCCACAGCATTCTCCTAGAGAAGCTGGCAGTTCATGGCCTAGACAGGTGTATTCTTCACTGGGTAAAAAACTGGCTGGATGGCCAAGACCAGAGAGTTGCGGTGAACGGAGTTAAATCCAGTTGGCAACCAGTCGCAAGCGGTGTCTCCCAGGGCTCAGTTCTAGGGACGGTCTCGTTTAATATCTTTACCAACGACCTGGATGAGGGGATTGAGTGTGCCCTCAGTAAGTTTGCAGATGACACCAAACTGGGTGGGAGTGTCGATCTGCTCGAGGGGAGGAGGGCTCTGCAGAGGGACCTGGACAGGCTGGATCAATGGCTAAGGCCAACTGTGTGCAGTTCAACAAGGCCAAGTGCTGGGGCTTGTATCAGAAATAGTGTGGCCAGCAGGAGTAGGGAAGTGATTGTGCCCCTGTACTCGGTGCTGGTGAGGCCGCACCTCGAATACTGTGTTCAGTTTTGGGCCCCTCGCTACAAGAAAGATGTTGCCTTGCTGGAACATGTCCAGAGGAGAGCAACCAAGCTGGTGAGGGGTCTGGAGCACAAGGCTTACAAGGAGCGGCTGAGGGAGCTGGGGTTGTTTAGTCTGGAGAAGAGGAGGCTGAGGGGAGACCTGATCGCCCTCTACAATTACCTGACAGGAGGCTGTAGTGAGGTGGGGGTCGGCCTCTTCTCCCTGGTAACAGATGATAGGACAAGGGGAAATGGTCTGAAATTGTGCCAGGGGAGGTTTAGGTTAGACATTAGGAAAAACTTCTTCACCGAAAGGGTTGTCAGGCTCTGGAATGGGCTGCCCAGGGAGGTGGTCGAGTCCCCATCCTTGGAGGTATTTAAAAGAAAGGTAGATGAGGTACTTAGGGACAGGGTTTAGTGGTGGGATAGCAGTGTTAGGTTAATGGTTGGACTCGATGATCTTAAAGGTCTTTTCCAAGGTAGACGATTCTATGGTTAAGGCACAAGAAAACAAAGATTTTCTTTGTAAACGTTACAGGTTTCTTTGTGGCACAGAGGTAAATGCATCGAATGGCAGCTTCTTTCTGCTGGGCTGGGGTGAATGAGGTGGTTCAGGCACAGAAAAGAAGCCCGATTATGTGACATCTTTTGATGCAAACCCCTAGCTTTTGTTCATACCTACTTGTGGACACGTGTAAAATACAGATAATAGGCAAGTGGTAATCCAGCTGTCATTTGAGGAAAACAGTACCGGTCTGTGCTGTGGTTTGTGAGAACATACATTTCTGAAAGGTCTGGAGGTCCCAATGTATTTGCTTGCAATCTTTCAAAAAGCTGTGGGTTTCTAAAGGCCACACAACCAGAGTATCACCACGCTCATTTGAGCAAGTGGTGATTGAGAGGCCATGTGCCACAACACGGTATTTCTGAGTAAACAGAAGTGCTTTTTTAAGTTCCCCTGAGGTTTATTAATTTGATATCCACCCAAATTCCAGTGCTAAAACAGTGGGAGCAAATGTATCGTTATACACAATACAGAGACTCCTGGAATCCAATTTCTTGTTACATGCTAAATGCCTTCACAGACAGAAAAAAGTTAAAAAAATCTGAGTTTAATTCACTTTTTTGATCATACAAATTTTACAGGGAAGTTGTTTACCTCTTCTCCCACCAAAA